TCGACTTTATAATACATGTATCGAATAGTTTACCTTTTAATATAAATATTATATAGTCTTATTTTCATTACTTATATTACAATTTTATATAAATAGACCTGTAAGTTGAACCTTGAGTCAACATAGTTCGATCAGATAGTTTTCTGAATAAGTCTTGGGACTAGACTTATAACTCTACAGTTTTAATAAAGTTATTATTTACTCTTTCGCCCTTCTTCTTGTCTTCATCATAAGATTGATCGTGATAACCTACTACACAAGTGAATCGTTATAATAAATTGTTTTGTTTGTTAATCGTTAATTTCTCTTAGGAAAGGTCTTTGAGATAATTGTTGTATTAAGTTTATTCATTTTATCAGCTTGGTTTGAGACGATTCCAGGTCTAACACCGGCTTTCTGGGTGATGCTATGGTGGTTATCAAAATTTCACGAAATGTCACGATAATCACGTGACAGATAATTTATCACCCGTGTCACGCCACCACTTTTTCATTTTTATTATAATTTGTCAATGGAAGTTTAATTTTGACATTTCGTAAAGTTATGCTGTGGTAGTGCCTATGTGAATTGACTCAAACATTACTTTTGCTGCTTTGCTTTTTCCTCATCCTCAGAAAATGTTCTATAATATGTCCCCCGTGTATAAAGACCCTCCTTAGAATGTGATGTACTAAAGAGCGCGCTCTAACGGTACATATTGAAGGTTCAGACAAAAAAGACGCGGCAGGATTCGTAATGTGAAAAAGATAGTTCTCACTTTTTAAATCTATTTGTTGATTAATAATCATGAGAATGATAATAAAAGAGAAATTTCATACTGTCCCTCTTCAAGGAGATGTTATTTACTTACTTACCATCCCCTTTCGAGGATGTTACCTACTTACTTACCTTCTCCTTTGAGGAGATGTTACTTACAAGTAGTTTTATTACTCAGAAAAGAACGATGCGCTGGCAATATTCAAGAGTTGAAAAATGGATTTGAAAGAATGGTGAATGAAACGCCATTTTCTCACATTATAAAATCAACTGAATCGTAAGTACGTCCGAATTCGCTTTTTTTTATAAGTTGTTTCATTCACTTCAAATACTACGTTGTAAGATATTACTACTAATCCATTTTGAAACACTGTATAATGAAATGAAGCTATTACACGATCTAAACCGATAATTTGGAAGTTCTGTGTTTTATGACCCAAGAACGTTTTTTTTTTTAAAAACCATAATTCATAGATGAACCCATAGCAAGAGAAAAAGTCGAGATTCGTGAAGAGCAACACAATTTATCTGAAGTTGCAGAATGACATCACTTCAGCTTTTGCAATATCTACTGATACGAAAATATTAAGGTCCCAAATGATTTTGAACAAATTTAGAAATTTCTAGTTATAGTAAAGCCTAATCGCTTATCTATAATAAATAACTCGTTATAGTGTTTCAGGCGAAACTATTTTTCAACATCCGAAACGCGAAACTAGTTTCGCCCGAAACACTAACGCTAACTCGTTAAAAAAATTTTTTGATAAATTTTTTTTAAAAGAAAAATGAACTTTGAGATCGATAATTTTCATGGACCGGTAAGTTTTTCTAGATTCTCGAATAAGTTTATTCCATTAGAAAGTAAAAATCTTCTCTAGAATTAGCGAATTTATTGGGAAATTTAGGACTGTTTAGGACCGCTTAACATCCCTAATCAAAACATGATCTCAAATTAAGTTTTCATGATGGAGTTATTATTTCTGCCATAACAATATTCGAGGAACCATTTTTATCTAGATTCCACCAGAAATTATCATGAATTCTTAACAAGAAAATTAAAGCTAATGTCGAAACCATTAACGCTTGGAGCAACTACCGAAAAAATTCTTTTACTGCGGCTAATGCTAACTTACCCTATTTGTATTTAGTTATTTAAGCGTTACACGGGCTTAGCTGACTACAATAAACAAAAATAAATCTGCGTTATGAAAAATAATGGAATCATGTGTTTTGGGAATACGCATGTTCACAGAAATTCAAAATTCCTTTCTTCAATTCTTTACCGAAATTTGGCGGGATTACATATTTGTATCGATAAGAGACGAAGAATATTGTAAAAGATTTCTTTTAAAAAGATTGTTTTAAAAGTATCAGTATCTATTATTATTGAATATGAAACTTGAACGCATTCAACGCATTAACTATCTGAAATGTATTTATGCAAACATTTTTCAACTGTTAGTAAGCATTTACCCAAAGATATACATTTAATTTATTTATAATGTTTAATTTGAGTTTTCTAGAAAATTCGTTTAAAGTAATTGCGGAAAGAAATGAAAACTTTTTATTAAAAATAAAAGAAAAAGATATTGCTGGAAGCAAAACTATGGCTTTGAAATCGTTGAGAATCGTAATTTTTCGGAATAGTTTGGTGGTGGTTGAAACAAACTTCGCTAATTATTTATATGATCGACGGACGCCCAATTTATTATTGATCACCATAAATCTCGTCAAAAAAAAGTATTTTTTAAAAAAAAAAGTTTCTCTCCCCTTCCCTTTATCATTTTCGTTTTTCCAAAATGTCTACCCCAGTTTTGACAGAAGATTGCATATTTGAAATATTTGATCATTTACGTAACGATCGGTCAACCTTACATAAAAGTTTATTCGTTAATCGATTATTTTGTAGAAATATCGTTCCCATACTTTATAAGAAACCATTTCGTAACGTTAAAGATCATTTACATTATTACCTTCTTATCAACACATACCTCGCATGCCTTAATGAAGGAGAAAGGTCCTTCTTAATTCAAAATAACATCAAGATTGAAGAGGAACCAACAACATTATTTGAATATGGAATGTATTTAGAAGGGTTACCTTATTCAAATTTAAATATTAACCTTGAATTTTGGTTTTTATATCAATTTTATGATATGAATAAGAATCAAAAATACATTCAATATCAAGATTATAATAAATTTTATTGTGACATTCATGATGATACGAGGTATAAATTAATTAGGAATACATTATTTCATTCCTTCTTTCGACAATTTAAATTCATTAACCCGAAATATTTAAAGGTTAGAAATAATATTTTTGATACCAACCTTTATGATTCGCAATTCTTTAAAGAGATCACCTCGAATTTGAAAATTTTATCATCATTACACATTTACATTGATGATCAGATGAAGGATTTTGTAAGCGACTTTTTAATTCTCCTCTCGGAAAATTGTTTTAACCTTATTGACTTCAAAGTATCCACAACGATTAACATTGAACATGAGTCCACTTTACCATGTCTACTTTCCAGACTCATTAAACAACAAAAAAATCTTGAGAGTTTCTATTTAAGGATAAATAATCAAAATAATGAGGTTTATAATATATTTGAATTATTACAATCACAAAAAAATACCTTGACCACGTTGCAATTGGACGGTTGTCACTTTGATGAGAGATCGACCGACCTACTGACAAGGTTTGAACGGTTGGAATCTCTGAACCTCATCTGTTGTGATGGAATTGATTTAAACATTTGTAAGAGGATATCAAATGATAAGATTAAATTAAAAAAGTTGAAATTACGAAACAATTATTGGGAACCAAATATGACCGCGACATTTATAAGTTCGATAGGGAGTTCATTAACAAGTCTGGTACATCAAGAAGTATCCTTTCCCTTGAACGTAAATGAAGAAGTTTACAAGTCGATCATCACTACTTGCAAGAATTTGGACAAATTTGAAGCATGGATCGGTAATCTAATCATCTTTGATTACTTGAAGGAAATTAAATGTAAACATCTCTTCCTTCATTTGGTAGATTCCGAGGTGGTGTTAAGTTATCTGGCAAACAATTTACCTAATGATTTAAGGGCATTCACGCTTAAATTTTATGGAGGGGCCACCCCCGTGTACTTGGAATATTTCTTTATCAATTTCAATTACGTCACGTTATTGCAAGAAATGAATTTTGATTTCGTGATGTCCGATAAATGCTTGGAAATTATTTTAAAGTATGTCGGAAGGATGAAACTTGTAAGAAGGATGCGATTCATAGAAAATTATTCCATTTTTTTTGATTTCAAAAATCGCTTGAATAAGGATTTGTTGAAAAGGATCAAGGATTTTGGAGTTTGGATTGAAATCATGGAAAATATGGACGAACGTAATGGAATTTATTTGTAAACAAAAAAAAAAAAATTATCAGGTTTATAATATAAATATATCAATAATAAATAAATATTAAATATTTTGAAGTAAATAAATGCATGGTCTCCTTTTTTTTAAGGGGGTAAAATGAGACTCGTGAATTTAATATAAATATCACGCATTCAATATAAATGTTTATATGATTGATGGTAGATTTATTGAAGATTAAATTTAATGTGAGATATATTCTAAATATTAATGCAATTAATTGATTGTATCATGTAAAATATTTTAATTTTTGATTAAGATAAATGATTATTTAGCAAAATAAATAAATAAATAACAAACCATCCTGTCAAACCTGATGATAATCTTGTACTTTACAAATTTTATCTCCTTGATCTTCCGATAACACCCTTTTCCCTTTCCATCCCAATCGTAGTCCATTCTCTACCATACTTATGACCGGGATAAACCACTGTACCATCCTCCAAATTACCCAATCTCTCCTTTAGGGTCTTTTTCATTTCTTTTAAATTCCCACCAGGTAAATCCAACCTTCCGGTACATCCAACCATTAAAGTATCACCGGTAAATAATCTTGATTCATTAACAAGTATGGATTGACTACCTTCCGTATGTCCCGGCATATGTATGAATCGTAACAGGGTGAAATTACCTAACGTCATCGCGAATTGATCCGGTGTTGAAACGAAGCGTGATCTCAATCCTGACATTCCCGGGTTGGATTTTAATACGTATGGTATGTCTGCTGGATGCATGTACACGGATAATTTGGGTACCCGACGCATCAAATTATAAATCCCTGATACTTTGACACGTAATTGATCAAATGGCGGTGGCGGTATGCCTAGGTCGATGGTAAAATCGCAAAATTTTAAAATTCCGACTCGAATAAATATTTACAATCAGAAATTAAAAAATTTACCTCCGACATGATCAAAATGATAATGGGTTACGATGCCTCCGACAAGTTCCAACCCCTTCTTTTTAACAAATTTTAATATTCCATCAACATCCCAACACTAAGTCAAAAAAAAAAAAAATATATCAAGTCTTGGACGTGCAATACACGACATTATTCGTTAAAAAAAAAATCTTACTTACCGCATCAACCACCACACATTTACGCGTTGCTAGATCTGCTATAATATAAATTATATTTTTCATATCTATTGCAAAATCAAATATTTTATTCTGTATGGGGTTTGTCATCGTATGCAAACAGATTTCACGTCCAGGCATTAATGCGTAAATCGCTAAATCTAAATCAAGACGAGGATTTCAGTTAAAGGTTAAAAGGTGTGACGATATGGCACAGATGTAAATAGCTCACTCATTTCTTGATTCTCCTTCAAGGTTAAAGCTTTAGCGATTCGTAACGGTATTTGTGGGTTTTTTGGATCTTTTCTTTGTGCCATATGATAATCTTCTAAAGCATCATCATATTTTCCTAATTGTAGATTTGCTTCGGCCTTACGAAAATATCCCTAAATAGAAAAAAAAATTACATAATTCGATGCTTGTCAACATATGATTCGAAGAGAATGATAATCTTTAAAAGGGATTTATCTGTTTACCTTTGGCCATTCGGGTCTCATACGGATTACTTGATCAGCATCATTCACGGCCTCAGCCCATTTCTTACATTGATAATAACTTGCACTCCTGTTTGAAAATATTAATGCTGAAAATGACGACGAGTTTTTTGGATCTGAACTTGGTTGTATCAATGCTAATGCTTTTGTATATTCGTCTGATAAATCGGCATTAGTTGGAAAAGGAGAATTGATTAGAAAAATATATAATAAACAACATTTTCTAAATGAAAAAAAAAAATATATTTATTTACATATGGCTAACTTAAATTCTTTTTTAGTATAATGATCATTAGCTTTACAGACTACTTTAAAAGTTCTATCATCTGGCGCAGAAGGTCGGAATAGTGCTGCGGAAAATTTGGACCAATTCGCTTCCGAAACCATGTTACTTTTATGTCGTGATATATAAGGATTCTGCTTTTTGGCTGTGCATTGAAAAAATGATTTACAGTTATTAAACATTTTTTTTAAATTCATGATCCAAATAACATTCAAAACTTTTTCGAGCAAGGTACAACAATTTTTACATATATATAGAAAAAATATATGATACATACATATATATTTATTAATTACAATTAATTATATAATTACCGTTTTAAATTGATAATTAATTAAAGTTAATATAATGATATTTGTTGATTTTCTTGCAAAGGGTTTTGCTTTCGCTATTTTTAGTTTCTTTTTTGAAATTCAAATAACAAGGATTTTTTTAGTTCTTGTTTCAGATAAATTTCCCACCCCCAAAATCGAAAGCCTAAACTTGGAAAACATCTCCATTACCATTATTTCCCGAATTTTCCTTACCTTTTTAGTTCCAATTATTTGAAAATATTCAATAAACAAGGAAAAAGGTTTATAGTTTTTTTGTTTATGGTTTTAAGGTTGGTTTTTTTTTTTTTTGTTTTTTTTTAAAATTTTCCTAGGAGATTTATACAAAAAAAAAAAAAATAGTGTTGCAACTGTTGCACTGACATCCTAAAATTCATTAAGGTGCATGGTAACTATTGGTATGTTTTGATTAATGTTTTTCCCGAAGATACAAGAAATGGTTCAGTATCAAATGTTATTGAAAGAAATAGGTACATTGTTTTGTTACAAAAATATAACGAATTTGGAATTTCCTATCTTGTGAAATTATTTGATAATTTGACAAACAATGGCTAAATAAAGTTTAGATCAACCCGTCTAACCTGATAAAATTATATTCACAGACAATGAAGCCAAAAACTTGTCCTTTTATCGAAGGTACATTTAAAAGATATTCAAGAAGGAAATTATTACAACCTTTGATATCGTCAAGAAAAATCTAAAACCACCCGCTTTTACGATTGTGATACATGTTTCCTGATGTAGTTTTTGAATACATAAATAAAATAGAACAAACCTATAATTTTTCCCCTTAAGATTAATGATTCCCTTTGTTTTTTTTTCTTACATTATTAAATGAAACACTAACCATGTTCTTTGATTTTGGCACCAATGAAATGGTAATAATCGATTTCATCTTTGATGAATCATGAAATCTTGTCACCCCACTATCTTTACCATAAATGTCATAATAATGTGCAAATGACACTTTTTTTTTTGTCTATAAGTTCTAACAAGGCAATACCTGTAATTATGTTTTAACTTGTACATTTTAATAAAACCGAGTTTGAAATTTTTTTTTTTTTTTTTTAAAAAAAAAATTCGATCTAAGCTTGCGCAGTTTTTACCAAAATGAAATCTGGATCCGATTCCAGTTTTTCTTATCACTACCTGAAAAGATCATTTATTCCTCATGTTACCGCATTTATCATGAATTTGTCTAATTAAATCTTTTTTGCACTACATCAAGGAAAGATTTCTCATCATTTTTATATTAAAACAATTTTTTTTTTTTTATTGTTATAAAAAAGTTACTTACGTATTTTGGTTTTAACATGAAAATTTCACATATGAATCTTATGCAACGTACTGCGAGAAACCTTTAAATTTTACTTTTAAGAGAAATTATCGGGTAAATTCAAAAAAAAACTCTGCTCCGGAATTTTGTCGCTCGGAGGTTTCATGACGTACAAGTTTTAAAATATAAACAATTTAAACAAGTAAATTAAATTAAATTTCTTTAATTGAAATATTATTGGTATGCTAATTTTAGACCAAACTTTATTATAGTTTTTATTTGTAAACAATCCAAATATTTTGATGGTTTAACTTGATTTCGTAATAAATTGTGAATCAAAAACAAATTTTTTGTTTCACGTTTATGAAAAGGAGGTCTGGATTTTTTGGAAAAAAAAAAAAAAAAAATCGACAGATTTTGTGCTCTGTAACAAAGATATCAAATGGTACTGCGCCCTTCTTTCGAAATTCGAATGTTTTCAATTGTACAAGTTTTTACCAATAAGATTTACGTTAATCTCTCCCAAAAGAACAAAAAGGTGATCCAGGCTTTTTGATGTTTATGTAAACATTTTGATATTCATCAAAATGTAAATTTTTGAATTTTAATTGGTGCTAGGAGGAAATGTAAAAAGGAATTGAAAAAAGTATTTTTTAAAATTATCCGAGATAACAAAAAAATAAAATTTTTCCGGTGGATTGATTAGCAAGTTTATTGGCTTCATCAAATTCACCTAATTTATATAAGGCAACTGTTATACTCAAAAACTTTCGATGTACCTAGACCTAAAGTGAGAATTCTTTGCCATCCCCCTGGAACATTACATTCCTTAGATATGATTGGTTCACATTTTTTCATAAAATAAAAATACTTTATTGATAACTTTATGTAGATTTGTTTAAT